AATGAAAATTTGGCCTTGGCCTTGGCCTTTTTTTACCTGGTAAATTTAAAGAACCCTTCTTTGTAATTCGGACTTAAAGCTAAACCCCCCCCCCCCACCAAGATGTTCCCACAAACCCCTTAATACCCAGATTTCCAAACGTTATTGGGGTCATAGCGTCCTTGCTGTATCCACGTTTTCCCACGGCTGCAGTGTGTTAAATTCTAACAAGTGCACTATCACACAGTGAAGTTTTCTGAAAAGTCTTCACTCCCTGATTAGTGACTGACAACCAACTCATTTTTTAAATAACAAACATGGGGAAATTTCAATTATCAGATGAATTAACTAATTTCCATTTCTATGTGAACACAAAGTGCCAGAGCGTTCTTGAAACTACTAGCGAATCAATATACTTAATAGTATACTTTTATAGTGTTTATAGAGCGCCTTATAATAGCAGCCTTGTATAGAGTGCCTAATAATAGCAGCCTTGTATAGAGTGCCTTATAATAGCAGCCTTGTATAGAGTGCCTTATAATAGCAGCCTTGTATAGAGTGCCTAATAATAGCAGCCTTGTATAGAGTGCCTTATAATAGCAGCCTTGTATAGAGTGCCTTATAATAGCAGCCTTGTATAGAGTGCCTTATAATAGCAGCCTTGTATAGAGTGCCTTAAAATAGTAGCCTTGTATAGAGTGCCTTATAATAGCAGCCTTGTATAGAGTGCCTAATAATAGCAGCCTTGTATAGAGTGCCTAATAATAGCAGCCTTGTATAGAGTGCCTTAAAATAGTAGCCTTGTATAGAGTGCCTTATAATAGCAGCCTTGTATAGAGTGCCTAATAATAGCAGCCTTGTATAGAGTGCCTAATAATAGCAGCCTTGTATAGAGTGCCTTAAAATAGTAGCCTTGTATAGAGTGCCTTATAATAGTAGCCTTGTACATCGCCTTATAATAGTAGCCTTCTTTAGAACGCCTTATAATAGTAGCTTTGTATAGAGTGCTTTATAATAGTAGACTTTTACAGTGTTCCTTATAATAGTAGCCTTGTATAGCGCCTTATAATAGTAGCCTTCTTTAGAACGCCTTATAATAGTAGCCTTGTATAGTGTGCCTTATAAAAGTAGCCTTGTATAGTGTTCCTTATAATAGTAGCCTTATATTTGATTTTTAAATCAAAGAAACATGACCACATTCAACCACACATGCGGCAACTCCACTGGCTTCCAATATCCTCTCGCATCAAATACAAGTCTGCCAATCTTTGCTTCAACTCGTTCACTGACCCTCACTTTCCTGTCTATCTCTCTGAACTGTTGCTTCCTTACATCCCCACAAGACAACTACGTTCTTCCATTGACAGTAGAACCCTCTCAATCCCAAGAACTAAAACTAAGACCATCGGTGAACGCTCCTTCTGCTTCCATGGGCCCACGTTCTGGAACCAGCTCCCCTTCCATATACGTCATAGTGAAACCTCGTCCATTTTCAAAAAGTCCCTTAAAACTCATCTGTTTAGGTCCGCCTATGACCTGTGATGCACCCTCCTTGCCCTACCTCATTTTCTGTTTCGGGTTGATCCTGAAGTGTCAAAGTGTCCTCGTTTTATAGTCATTTTCATTGTTTCTATAAAATAGTAGTTACTATCCTAGTATCTCATTTGTATTTACTTAGTTTACATGTTTTAATAATTGTAAATCGCTTAGAGCTTTATGATAAGCGCTATATAAAAATGCCTAAATAAATAAATAAATAAATATAGAGTGCCGCACAAACAATGTGTATATAGCGCCTCATCTATTAGCTTATCTAGCAACAGTTATCACGCAAACAAGTGATATATATATTTTTAAAGGATTTAGACTGTTCTTTTAGGCTACCTATTTTTAAGCTACTTTTATTTTTAGACTACCTTTACTTTTTAGACGGTCCATATCAGCTGTTTATGCATTGTATTAACCTCGTCTTTGATCACTACCCTCACGCCACTCTTCATTGGTACAATGATGTGTAAGACCGTCTTTGATCACTACCCTCACGCCACTCTTCATTGGTACAATGATGTGTAAGACCGTCTTTGATCACTACCCTCACGCCACTCTTCATTGGTACAATGATGTGTAAGATCGTCTTTGATCACTACCCTCACGCCACTCTTCATTGGTACAATGATGTGTAAGACCGTCTTTGATCACTACCCTCACGCCACTCTTCATTGGTACAATGATGTGTAAGACCGTCTTTGATCATTACCCTCACGCCACTCTTCATTGGTACAATGATGTGTAAGACCGTCTTTGATCACTACCCTCACGCCACTCTTCATTGGTACAATGATGTGTAAGATCGTTTTCATTCTGATTTTCAATCAATGTACTGCCTAAAATTAGCCAATGAAAATTATCTTGGTTTTTATAACAGGAATTACTGGTGTTTGGACAAAGGCGTTTTAGGCCGGACGTTTACTCTCTTTCTCCTCTCGCTCTCTCTCGCCCTCTCTCTCTCTCTCTCTCTCTCTCTCCATATATATGTATATATATATATATATATATAAATAT